TTTTCCTTTGCCATTCATGTATCTGCAACTTCCCCGAGGACCGAGTTCCCAGAAAAAACTCAGTAATGTATCTAGTGTGCCAGAGTAGTGAGAAGGTGGTGTGCTCTGTCTGCTCTACCTAAATAACCCATCACATGAGCCTGCAGGAAACTCTCCTTTAGTTGTTATTGCAGATAACACTACACGTCTGTTGCGTGAGTGCTTTAAGGCAGAAGTCACCAATACTTGTGTGTGATAGTACATTGCCAAGAACACCGAAGTTGTGACTACAGGCACTACTGTTCACTAGTTGGTACATAAATTAATAAAAATCTTTCTTCCACGTACCAAGATGTATAACCTTGATCCCTCTTTTTCCCTTTTGCACTGACGCTTTCACTAACCAGCCCATTCTTCCTTTGTAGTTACTCTCTTAAACCTTCTATGTTCAAGCCGTAGTGTTTCCCTCCTCAAATAACACAATGTCATTCTTCTCCCTTATGGTCCCCAGCTCCAATATTGCTTATGCTGTCTGGTGCAAGTAGGTGCATGTGAAAGCATCTTCACTGCCTGTTTTCTTACCGTTTCAATCTCCTCAGCCACCACACTGCTTCCATCCTTTTGTATCCACTCTGAGCTCTTCATCGTTCACAAAACTCCACCACCCTCCTCAAATAACACAATGTCATTCTTCTCCCTTATGGTCCCCAGCTCCAATATTGCTTATGCTGTCTGGTGCAAGTAGGTGCATGTGAAAGCATCTTCACTGCCTGTTTTCTTACCGTTTCAATCTCCTCAGCCACCACACTGCTTCCATCCTTTTGTATCCACTCTGAGCTCTTCATCGTTCACAAAACTCCACCACCCTTCTTAATATCCCATAAAACTCTGCCCCTGTTTGCATCCTGTCTGTTGAAGCCCTCTCTCCTCCCCGGCTTATGCACTCCCCTAACGCTATCTTTGTCACGCTTCGGTTTTTATCCTCCTAAAGATAATTAATGCCTTTCTCATTCCCATTCACTGCTGGTTCTGTCCCACCTCAATAAGACTATTTTGCAACTCACCCACCAAAATTACTTCTTCTCCACTGGCCCTTCTGGCTGAAATGACCCCATCCACTCTAGCCTCTTCATCTACGATGTCTCTGCTAAAATCAATTTACATCTAGGATCATTTTACTTCCTCTTTTTTAAGCTTCGTAATTCATTGCTTACCATATGGAGTGAATTCTTGACTAAACAATTGCTTTCTCAGAGTTTTTATTTCATTGGTATTTTACATCTTTCTTTCAGGTACTTCACAGAAATGACCTACAATCACAATTTCTGAAAAACCAAGCACATATAACTGTCCTGTGCTGCAGTCCCTCCTAACAGGAATGCATCCACTGTCTCGCCTTTCCTTGATGCCTAGATGATGATATGACTGTGCTTAGCTGCTGCCTGTCTTTAATTCAATGGAGCTGTAACTTCTAGTGCAGCCTGAGCAACCTGACTCTTGCCAAGCCCCATGTTTTAGGCTCCACCTTTCATTTGCTCTTAGCATCTTCATCTTATGCATTTCATATGTGATGGTGCTACTGCCTCTCTGCCGTGTATCAGATGAACTTTGCCAGCTGTTTGGCAATCCCCTGACATGCTTCGTATGCCACATAGGGATTGGAGAGAAAAGGAGGCACATGGGAGAATTTGCTGTCTCACCAGAAGCAGTAGCCTAGTGCAGCAGAACCTCATCTCTCATGTGGTCCAATTCGGTCTGAAGCCCGCTGGTAACTCATGCACGTTTATCGCCTGACCTGATGCATGCCCTTGTCACACGGTTGGAGGTGCCAGTCTCGCACGTGGCAATTGTGAGAGGTTGTCACTGAGGTATGGACAGCATGTGCAGGGAGCAGGATCTGTTCATAAGGGTCTGTGAGTGAAGTTTTGGTAAAAGACTTAGTCTGTGTTGAAATGGAACACTATTTATTTTTTTTTTCCTCCCTGGGCACTAGTGAGAGCACGCAACCTGTAATTTGTACTTCACCAAGAATTTCAGACATCTAGGGAGGTTAGTGTAAGTATTACAATAACTTGGGAAGGATTAATTGAGGATGCATGCCACTTTGTGAGGTGTTAGGTCCTGATTAAATGCTCTTTACTGTGTAGTCACATTTTATTACAACTTACTTACATATGTTTGGAACACTGATAGAAAAGAAAGCATGTTACCTATTTACAATCACTACACATTTACATTATATTATTTACAGATAATGAATTTAGTAATATATATGAGCAGAAAATATAGCAAATATCAATATGAAACTGTACAGGGCTTAATCTCACGTCCTTTACTGTGGCGGCATTTCACTGTAATAATAAATACAGTTCTATATTTACACATTTTACTTTAAAAATCTATTAAATGAATTTTAACAATTTCAAGTTTAAAATATCTGATCAAAATATTTCAAAGAGGCTTATAAAAATAAGACACAAAGCCTTTAGGACTTTCTGCAAGCTAAAAAAGTTCTGATAAAAGAAGCTTTCTTTAACTAGTCTTTAGAATTATAACATTATTTTGCTTCTCAAATCACTTTACAAACTTCTTAAATATAGCGAGCTGAAAGGAATTTCACTGACATTAAGCAGTGCAGCGCAGATGGACCCCTGTTAAATTAAAGCTAAGTAAACATGGTAATAGGTATTGTGCAATGGTTGACTGATCCTCTGTTTAATCCAAAGTGGTTTCAGGCATCGTTCTCCAGCTGTATGCTGCACTGCTTCAAAAGCCACAAGAGATAAAGGATTAAGATAAGTACTCAGCTGACTTTATCATACATAATTTCGGCATTGGTTCATTTTTTTTTCCTGAAGGATGAACGTCAGCCAAAGTCAACTGATGCCATCTGTAACTGCAAAACTAAAAATATGCCAGTGTCAATGGACAGGAAAATCAAGGCATATCCATTGTTGGCAACAAATTCTTCATTGTGAAAATCCATCCTTTGAGTCCCAGGAAGTTTTATATACAGTAACAGATGAACAACAGAGATCATCTGTAACTGATTATCTTAATTACTGGGCTAGCCTAACCTTGGTAAAAGGTTAGGTTGGTTAAAAAATTCACAGTGGCCATTAACTGAGCAGTGAGTACTGGGCTATTAAATGTTAGTCCTCAGGGAGCTATTTTTAACGACAAAAAAAAGTAAATTTGTGCACTTTCGTGTCTTAAATGATCAGCTCACTTGAGCAAAAGGTGCCAGCTTTGAGAAAAGAATACTGGAATATCCCCTGATGGCTTGGCCAAGGTCAAAGACTGATATTCTAGAGAAGTGAAGGTGGCTCTGTTGTCTGAGATATTTTGACAGTAGACTTGGCAAAGACCTGAAGTCTCTTCTCTCTAACTGGGATGCTTCTGATGTGTAAACATACATGCCTTGATTCAGCAAAGTATTAACAGATTTGAAGCCAGAGAGGAACTCTGGGTTAATCTAATCTAACCTGTTCCTAAACTAAAGCCATCAGAAGTCCCTGAATTCCAATAGCTGCTCCAATACCTTTTTTGGCAATATATCCAATTTGAATTTAGAGATTTTTGGTGACAGATAGGTCCACTAGCTAATGATCATCACTGTCAACAATATGCACCTTTATTTTCTATGCTGCATATCCCCAATGTCAACTTCCAGTTGATCTTACCAGATTCTTCTCTTGAATGAGTAGTCCTCTGCTCTCAAACTTGTTTCCAGAAGTAGCTACTTATAAATTGTGATCAAATCACTTCTTTCTTAAGCTGCTTTAAATTTATGATATTCATATCTTTTTCAATTTCACAATGTTCTTTACAGCATATGAATGCAAGAACTGTTTGAAATACCCCAGTAGTGCTTGCATCAGCGCTAAGAACACAGATCATACAACCTCTTCACTCCTACTTGATATTGCCTTGGCTAAGGATCTTGACTATCCTTAGCCAAAAGGACACAGTGGCCTCTAAATCTTCAACTGACTAGTGACCATGAACTAGAAGCTTTCTAGAATCACTGTTTCACAGGGCAGAGATCATGCCATGAGCAGGACTACAGCTTTTGGTCCTAGACAATTACCTAAAATGAATGTTTCTAAGTGAGTGCTTTTGGTGTCCTTCAATTGCCCTCAGCATGCCAGTCTTTTTGTATTGATGACTTTCTATGTAGTTTTCCACTCTGAAATTCTATGAGTCATCTGCCAATTTTATCAGCAGTAATTCTGGCAATAATTCTACTGGCATGGTAGCAATTCAGGACCAACCTGTGAAGAACCTCACTAGAAAAATATCCATGTGACAATGGCTTGCCATTTACAATTACATTTTAAGCGCTTAACAGGATCTTGATTAACTTCTTTCACACCATGTTAATTTTGCATGTTTAGCTGACAATTAAAAATGCTTTGTCAAGTCAGATGACTTCTAAAAACCAAATCCAATGCCGGTTAAACTATTAAATCAGCTTTATCAAACATGGAACTTCACCAAAGTCTATTCTGCAGAAACCTTTAGGACTTGAACAGAATTATTCTTCCATTTAGATACCTTGCTGAATGAGAGCCATACACAGATGCTTATAAAAACAATCATGGCACTGAAAAACTATTATTAAAATCAAATTACAATAAACAGGAAAAAAACCCTCAACCCTTGAAAATAAACTGTATCAGGTGATGCTTTGGAAAAAAAGCTTACCAATTTAACGTGCTATTTTTGCTCTTGACCAACTGATGCCCTTTCTGAGTAGTGCTACTTTAAAAGAGAGCAGCTGATAGAACTGCACAAACTGCAGCAGCTTTCAGTTTCTCTCTTCATCCCAGCATTTTGGAAGCAGGCTGAGAAGGCTCAAGTATTGGATTTTCAGCCTGCTGCAAGTTTTGTCATTGTCTGTTTTCTGATGTGTGTAACAATAATTCAGAGGCACTCTCTAGCTTGTATGCACACATCCATACTTACTTTCGGGATTAAAAATCTTGTAAACATAGGTATTTTCTGTACTGCCACTGCCACTAGCGACATGGAACAAATGCAACTGATGAAAGATTGCAGCTTTCTGTCATTTGATAAGATGATGGCATTAGTGAATTGCTGGTAGGCATATCATATGATATGCTGGCACTTGTGAAGGTTACCAACGCTTGTGTTGAGTCACAAGATTGTTTTTCTATGTCTTCTGAATTCACAGAGATCAGACTAGCATGTTTTGATCTCCTCCATAACAAAGTTTGCTTTCGCAGACTTCCCAAGTCCTCCTTAAATTGTGGATTGAAAAGTATATAAAGGAGTGGGTTTAGGCATGCAGGCAGTGGGACAATCACTAGCAGTATTGACTTAATCACTTCTGGGCTGATAAAAGTGAGGTTTAGTAAGGAGGAAAAAGATAAGAAGGCCACAGGGCAATAAAGAATGCAATTAGTAAAAAGTAGTAAGGCAATATGTTTGACCATAGAGCAATCCCAAATGTTGTCTAATTCTCCCTTTTCTAAACTACAGTAGAGCTTTGTATAAGCAATAGTCATTACCAGAAAACAAAGGGAGTTCAGCAATACCAGTGCTACCATGTATCCCATAGCAGTGGGTTCCCCAAATGGTAGTGGTAAACAAAGCGGAGAAACCCCATACTCAGTCCCAGTGAGGAGTGGTATCACTGCAATGATTAGTGCCAACATAAAGCAAAAGAAACTGGCAATTTTTACACTAGCAATGGAGGATTTTGTTTCAAACTTTGTAGTGTGCTTTACAGAGAATGCACGTTCAAGTGCAGCTAGGGTAAGGAGGAAAATGGAAGCCTCTGAAGCAAAAATGGAGAGAAGGCCAGTTATTTGGCAACCAATTCCACTCTCCCACTGTGCTCCATACTGAGCAAAGCTACCAAAAGTTGATGCATCCACGCTAGCCAGTACTCCGCTGGCCAGACCCATCAAGGCATTTACAATAGCTATTAAACCGATCAAAAGTTTTATGGAGGGCATATACAATGGAGATCTGAAAACTGTAGCAGACACCAGTGCATTGCAAATAAAGGTCAAACCCACTATGGTCCACACTCCAATTCTGATCAGCCAGCTACCAAACAGATGGTCACATGGTTTGAAGGGACCTGAAATGACAAAACAAAAAAGGCAAGGGAAACCCATGTAAACTAAAAAATAATTATGCGCTTTCTAAAACATTAAATTTCATGCTTCTTGCAGGTTATCAGCACAACCAAGCAGTGAATTTCAGTCCAAAAGGGGAGCTGGAAATTTGCTCTTCCTTTGGAGTAATCCGAGACCTTGATAACATGCTGCTAAATGCATGTTGCATGTTGCATTACTGGTGCACATGAGTCTTTGTCCATCAACCCGAATAGTCTGTGGGGTTTTTTTTGTGCCTAGCAGTACAAGTGCAATGTGAATGTCCAGTCTGTACTTTCAAGAAATGCTGTGATGTTTGTCAATGTGAGAAAAAAGCTGAAAAAGATACCTCTCACTAAACTAGGACAGGTTGCTAATGAGTCCTGGTGAAGTGTGATGTAACAGATACGGACAGATGCACTTTGCCTACCTTGTAACATGTCATTACACAGTCTAAGAAAATTGAGGGCTGTCCTTGCATTTGAAAGTGCTGCCTTTTTGGAGGGGCTTCTGATAACCTGTGGCAGAAGTCAGGTCATTATGATTGAGGCCTCCTGCGTATTCGCATAGAATTGAGGTGCATATGCTGTGCGGTTGAAGATGAATGCTCTGCAGTCTGAGAAACATTATTTATGTTGGTACGAGCCAGCTATGCTCTCCCAAAGCAAGTCCTTCACAGTGGTCTGAGCTTCTCCATGAAGACGCAAACCCCGCAGCTGAGATGTGTTCCATATGACTACAGTTATTGCCATCAAGTAGGCATAAGCATCTATTGTGTCAGTTTGCAAGTTTTTCTAAGATACCATTTGAAAGATCAGCATGGAAGCTAAATTTTCTCTTGGGTCTGGTGATAACTTACCTTGAAGACAGAGTTTTTGTGAACTCAGTAGTTATATTTAGGCCTAGGAGAATATGTGATGGTCAAATGGTTCTAAATTCTTTGGCTTCCTGCCTTTTCTATTCCTCCATACATAACTTTTAAAAATTTATTATTATTTGCTGTTACAAAGAAGAATCTTGGCTTGGAATGAATGCTGAAGTACTAGTTGTCAGTTGGGTTTTTTTCTTCATGTTTCACAATGAAAGAATGGCCAGGGAAAATGTTTGCTGAATCAAACAAGCAAAACTTATGATCACAGCTGTTAACGCTAGAAGCGACCTTCCAAAGATATGTTTCTTTCCTTGCCTTAAAGAAAACTTTCAGTGGAATTGGTGGCTTATAGCTTTGCAATTCAATCAATGTATTTCTTTTTCCTTTCTGCCACACTGTGAAGCCAGGGATGCACTATTCTATCAAGAAAACGACAGTGCTGGGGGTCCTTTGTGATGGACTGTGTATATCAATACAGTAGTGTTTGATATTTCCTAGACATTGAAATAAACTATATGTTGTTCAAGAAGCTCAAGTGTAGAATAACTCGGTGAAGTTCAGAATTACTTTAGCTTTGCAAAAGACTGAGTGAGCAAAGATTCTGCTCCCCTTTATCACCTGCATCTTGGTAGAAGTGTCTTTGCTTTCTCATCCCCTTGATAACGGGCCCAAAAAGGGGCCCGGAGTGAGGATCTGCTTGAGGACTGGGTAAAACTTTTGTTACACTCATAGATGAATTTAGTAACTGAATAGTTTTCTGGACTTCAATGCAAAATTTTATATTATTGTGCAAAGTATTTGTATTAATCTCATCAAATTATTGCAAAACATCATGTTACTGTCCTAGTATCAGATTCAGAGTTTGTTCTGCATCTAGAATATCTGGTAATACTGTGCTTGGATTCCTATCTATCTGGCAGTTTCATACCTGGAGAAGGTGAACACTGCACTGAATGATGAGCTTTTAAATCTTCTTCAAAGTCAAGAAAAAAATCTTCAAAGTCACGCTCATCTGTGGGGGAGAAAATACCCAGATTTGATACTGTAATTTTCAGGAATAGTTCTTTTAGTACAAATTGCAAAAATGTCTGTGGTATTTAAGGCCTGGTCTTGTCCCTTTGCCTGCCAAACTGTGAGCAGAAGCAGAAGTATGCCTACTTGGTTTTGAATTACTGTACTCGGGCACCATCACTTCTCTGAAAATAATCACTTAAAGGTACATTCTCTATTACCTAATCTGCAGTGTGACAACTGCCTAGGAAGGAGTTTAAAATATGAATTCTGCTGTTGTGCCAGGCTACTAAGAATTAACCCAAGTTTTTCTGTGTTTCCTATGTCATTGCTCTACCATGTATTCTTGGCTCTATTCTTGCTGGGGCTAGCCCTGAACTCTGAGACTTACTGGTTTGCAGGAGTGGAGATAGCACACAAAGCAGCAGGATGGTATAACATGTATGTGTGCACCTATGTAACAGGTAACAGGTCAAGTAACAGACCTTGTGCTGAAGGGGAAGAAAAATACAGCAGTCGTCTGTCCTGGAGAGCAGATGTGCTCTCTGGTACCCAGGAAGTGCTGGGAAAAAATATCGGCAGGTATAGCAAAGTAGCCACATACGCTCTGTGACTCATCCTGAGGCATGTGGACAGCAGGAGAGCCAAGGATGCGTTGCTACTTCCAAGTCTGGCAAGAAACTAGATCTTTGCTGGCCTGTTCTTGTATGGGGTTACATAACATCACCACTTTCCTGTCTCTCACATAATGGGAAGATTTAACTTCCCACATTCTTATAGTTACTATTTGGACAGAAAGATGAGCGAGTGAGATTTTTGAAAGGCAGACCTGAAAAAATGAGTTTGCTAAGCATAGGAATGCTTGATTAACATATTATCGGGCAAGAGAGAGGGAGAGGCTGCCTCTGTGACTGCGAAAGAGTATTGGATTTCTTTAACATCACAGGCTGCTCACAGCCTTCAGGTAGATTTAAAAGCCAAAGATGACAATTACCTTGAATTTGTAACAATCCAGCATCCTTCCTGTGAAAATCGTCAATGCTGCTATTCTCATCTTTGTTCCATTGGCTGGAGATTTTGTAGTGGCTCTCACAAGCTCCAAAGGCACAGCACTGATAAGCATAAGGCATTTCCATGACCCTGTAGAAGAGTAAGGAAGCATGCCATGATACTGGTTAGTACCAGAGTTACTGGATTGTACTGCTCCTCCACTGTTAGCACAAAGGAACTTGTTTAAATAACCATGACTGAAAGCAAAAATATCTATGGGTAAAAATCAGTCATGATAATACAAAATGAGGACTTACAAATGAAATTCCACATCAGAAATGCAGATGATTTCTAGGCTAATTTTAGTAAAGGCACAATCAAATTTTCTTATGCATTTTCATGGGAGATATGAAAGTGGGAGATATGTGCCTTGCTGTTGAGTGAATGTTACTCCTAGAGCTGTATTTCTATTTGATGATTTTGAATGATTTTACAGTGTAACTCAACAGTTTCTCCATGTTACTTTCTTAACTGTTTCTTTTAAAAAAGCAGATCCGAAGATCACAACTGCACCTACCCGCCTAACAGGCAAAACCAAAACATCACTTCCCAAATGGAATTTCTCCAGTTTTGGGAGAATGAGATCTTTCGTAATTCAAACTTTATCCACTCTTTAAACTCTTTTCACAGTAAGATGGCAAAAAGGAGATTGTCTTTTGTGCACATACCAAGAAAGCAGTGTTCTAAACCAAAAGGTGAATGAGTCAGAAAGGCAGTGTATGTGAAAACAGATGTCACTGAGGAAAAGGTTTTACTTTATTGATTGTCCTAGAAATGAGCACGGTCATTTCAGGACACTGGATGCTCATTCCTAACTCTTTTAAGATCATTGGTATTCCTAACACATAGCTGAGTATAGGTCAGTGAGTTTCAATGATTTTGAGGGTTTCTTTTGTCAGAAATTGCTCATTTCTGGTATGTTTTGAATTTAATTCCTTTGGGGATCTGCAAATTTTGGGGTAGCATGGAAGAACTACATATATTCAAGTTCTGTAGACGACTGCTTCTATTCCTTAGATATATTTTATGCTTTGGAAGCAGAGATATTTGCACAGTTTGCCAATAGTACATAGCAAAACCTAACAACTCACCTTAATTCCAAAAGCTCAATAAACCAAAAAATTCAAAGATAAAGAGGTGATTAGAAGTTATTCTGACTTAACTTAAAAGGAATAAAATAGAACTAGATCCTCCTATCAGATTACTTTCAACAGGTTAATCATGTAAATTAACATAATGAGCATTCCAAGAAACCTCTAACCCCCTGGGAAATCTGCAAAGAAATCAGTCTGAACCAGGCCCAGTGCCAACAGGACTTAAGCTTGTGAGCTAGCCAAAAGCTTGGTACAAAGGGGAACAAACGGAACCCTAAGCTCTAAAATGATTTTTAAATTAGTGCATTTTGGGGCACATACAGTGCTGGAAGCAGTCCTTTTTATGGCTGGTACTTATTTGATGTGGGTGATTAGATTTGGACTTTGTCAAATTAAACTCTTTCAGAAACACTGGCTGAATTTATTTTTATATACTGCTTATCTTATTGATGATATCTGTATCCTTGATAATTTTTTTCCTGCAGCAAGGAATGCCTCTTCTTTCTGTTTTTAGATTAAGCAGCAGAGAACACAACCCCACAAAGGTGTGGGGTTGATGGTGAATGGGAAGGCACAGCTACGATAAATGGAGTAAATCCCTGAGTTCTTTACAGCCCTGAATCAAAGCATCAGATAAAGAAGGAAGGCGTGGCTGGCAGCCTGACTTTACTTCCTCAAAACTTGCCATAGCAGGCTGGGCTCAGCTCTGTAGAGCGCTCTCTTGCCATTGCTGAAGGTGGGGCAGAGGATGCTCAGCTCTTTGATGTGTCTGTGTATTGAACAGCAATGACCCATTTAGATGAGCAGGAAGCTTTTATACAGGAATTTGTCTTTAATGTTGTAACCAGTGTCTAGTTCCAACAATTACAAAGGGTGAAATTTCATTTTGTTTTAGATCTCTGTTCAAGTTTGGTGCTTCATGCATTGTCTGTGCAGTGATCCTGTGTGAAGTCCTGGCCTCATTTTGATTTATGGTAAAAGTCCTGCAAACTCCAGGTCAGGACTTGACCCCTTTCTCTCCTGTCTGGATATAATTTGTTCTTACAAATGTTAATCAACTCTAGCTATATAATCATACTTTTTATACCTTTTTTTAAGACTTAAACTACTGCCTGACACATCCTTGTTAACTACTTACCCAGACTAAATACACTGTAGTTGCATTTGAGCAATGTACATAATTTTATTGATGGAAAAATCATATGAAGTATAATTTTGATAAAAGAATTAAAAATCTTAGCTGTACATAATTCAGTTGAATAGTGGATTATTCTAGGACTACTGCAGCACCTCTTATGCCTCTAGGCCATGGTATATACATCACTATATATTTGCTAGGTTGGAGTAATCCATTTTCTTGTGTTTTCATTCTTTTAAAGAACCTTCAGGTATTTTAGAATTGTCACCTGCCTCAACATGTGGGTAAAATCAGTGAGAGAAGAAAAACTATGGCAGAAGCTCAGCCTCAAACATTCATGATTTCTTACGGTACTTGCTTCTTGACCTCTAAGACCCATCTAAAGGTCTCTAGTGTAAGAGAGGCATAAGGCCTCGAGTACTTTGAACGTTTATGTTATAAAGTAGTTTCATACACTGTGATAAAGTCACTGCCCAATCTCCCCTATGACAAACTACAAATATTGCATTTATTAAGACTTCTAAGGCATTGTTTCCTAACCTTGGAACCATTTTTTGCAGCTCTTCTCTCAGTTTATATTAACATGCCATCATAGAAGTATTCTAGTGTGGATCCCTCCAGTGCTGTACGCAGAGGTTTAATTAGCTCTGCACTTCTACTTATGACTCCCTTATTGATAACTCCAAACACTCCAGTCCTTTTCATTAGTGGTAAAGTCTCCTTGAGTTATCTGCTTGCTAAGACTCATGGGACTTTTCCAATGCAAAAGGCAAATCTAGTGAAGACGTAAGGATGGAGTCTCCATCTTGGAGATATTCAAAAGCTGTCTGGACGTGGTCCTTGGCAACTGGCTCCAGGTGACCCTGCCTGAGCAGGGGAGGTTGGACAAGATGACCTCCAGAGGTCCCTTCCAACCTCAACCATTCTGTGATTCTGTAACTATGTCACACTGTTTAATTGTTTCAAATTTTATGATATCAAACCTTTTACAGTAAAACATGGGAAAAAAAAATGTTGCACTTGGCATCCTCTAATTAAAATACAAAAATCAAGGGAGAATTAAGGGACACTCCCAAATACCCTGAACTCAGAGGCAAAACTCTCTTTACTGTGATTTCTATATGGTCATCCAGTGACTGGCAGAGCTGCAAATGATCTCTAGAGAACATTTCCTTCCTGTATCACAGAGCATCCAGCAGAAAATTACTAGCACCAGAATGTTTTAGTAATAATGGCAAAGTATTATCTGAATCTTAGTCAAAAGATTACAGAAAAAACATGTTCAAACAAAAGAGGTCAATATTTTGGAACTTCAGGAGTATATTCTTCCCTTGATATTTGCTGTGTTCTCATTAAGTATAATGGAAGTTCTGTAAGCACAATCCAGTAGAAGAAGGACATATCGCTAAGCTGCTAGCAATATTGTTTTAACAGCTTTTGAAACATATCACCAGGAAGCAGATGTGGCTTGTATTAAGCAAGTACTGGGGTTAATATTTCAAAACCCTTCGTAGTTTCTTCAGTTGAAAGTGAGCATAATAAAAGAAGTCTATCATTTTTATCATATTTGCTTTAGTTTTAATAGCACAGATCAAAGACTGACAATACGAAGTAACATGCGTTACACACTGACACACCTTCCATTGCACATGAACACAAATGTGGCTTATTAGTTTTAATGATATACTCACTTGAGTTCTGGAAAATTTTCAGATGATATCAAACTTTGTAGGGCATGATTTCCTGTTAATTTTAAATGAGTTAAACCATGTAGCCCCGTCACAGGAAAAGAGGACAAAAGGTTGGATGACACATCCCTGCATAACAGCAAATAAAAATCAGCTTACGAGTTTTCATTTTTTTTCTTCAGCACTACAAGTGTCACTTTGGAAAACCAGGTTAGACTTTTCTAATTCAATCAAAAATGACTGTATTAAACAGAGGCCCCAGTCAGCAGAGCAAAGCTGCAGCATCACTCAGGAGTATGCACCTATGTGTCCAGCAGAAAGCTAACAGTAATATCTAGCAGTTAGCTAAGTCTCTGTTGCCAAATTTTGACTCCAAACATTCATAGTGCCAGTTTTGAGACTAGCAAATGAGTTTAAAATCTGTTCATTAGATTGTTTGAATTAAAGGGAGCCACTACCAGAACAGCTTCCCACAGTTTAAAAGATTCAGTGGGATGCTAAAGGGCACGGCTGCCCTCAAAGCTCCTCAGGGGGCAGGTCAAGTGTACGGGGAAGATGTGTGTTTCAGGGTAGGTCGGGTGTGGGCTGGAGCAGATGAAGGTGACAGTTCTAAGCTGACATTTGCCTGAGGAGCCGAGGGAAGACAGCGCAGATGAACATGGATACGTAACTTGGGGAAAGTAAAACAGGTGAACAAAAAAGTGACAAGGAGATATAGTAAAGTAATCAAAGATGGGGAAGTCCAGAGGTATTCTGTTCTCTGTTTCTCCCTCTCTCTCCCATTTATTCTGTGAGCCTTTTCAGTCCTCTTCACAATTATCTACACTGCAATACTTAAGATCGTCAACAGTCAAGAAGGAGGAAGAAGGGGAGTCCAATGCTGCTGAAATGCTTTTATGCCCAAGGCTGAACAGCAAAGTTCCTGTCTCTTGGACTATCTACTGAAATTTAAGGGCTAGACATAAAATAAGGTACGTTGATGGACTGGTCTTCTACCTATCTATCTGGTTTAGTGTGTGTCCTCTTGCTCACAACATAGTTAAATACCAAAGGTGAAATTCTGGTCTTACTGCAATGGTAAAAATGACCACTGACTTCAGTCAGACCAGGGTTAGAGACTAGCATTTCAGGAAACGCTGGTACACTGTGTTGCTGTGTGTGTGTTAAAGGGCTTTTTTCTTTAACCCTCTCTGACTGTTCTATACTATTGACCAAAGCTACAATTTATTGCTCTCCTCACAAAGTAGGAAAGTTCTGAGGAGGGACCCAAAAGGGATGTCACAGACAATATTGTCTTTACTGACATTTTTCAGTGCACCATTCAGAGGGGAGGCTTTGCACATCGACAGAAATGAATACCCCTTTCCAAATTTAGGTTTCCCAGCAGCTACTGCATTATCTGCGAGCAAATGCCCAGCAGTGTATCTTTGTGACAACCATGCAGCAGCATGACTCTAGAGGAATTTTTTCTCACGTCTTCCCCATACACCCAATGCCTCAGGGATTCACCTTAAAGAGGCATTATGGGAGTGGGAAGTAGGAAAAAGTTAGTAAGGACTAAGAAGTGCTTGTGAACAAGGCCTGCAAAATTGGCTGCTGATGTTTTGACGACTAACTACTCTGGCTGAACTTACTATAGAAGAAAATCTATTCCATCAAATGAGGAATGATGAAATAAAGATGCATACTGGAAAATGTTTCTTATTTAATTTTTAATCCAATTCCTTAGTCCTGAAACACGACTAACAGGAAATATTCCCCATTGCTACAAGAGACTAAACTGCTAAAAAATTGAATGAAGAAAGGCAGTTGCACTGATATTCTTCATGGACCCCAAATCACTCTGATTACACAGTGTTATATGCAGCTTTGCCATAATACCTATAGGAATTGGTGAAGTACAAGAAAGTAGGCATCTAGATACGGATTCAACAGACCAGAAGATTAGAATAGAGAAAGCCTCAATTTCTGCTGGGGCACTAAGTTATGAAATTTTTGTATGCTCTTGCAAGAAAAATGTGAAAATTTGAATGTAAAAGATATACAAATACTTACAGTTTGATCAGAGATGGTAAAGAGGAGAAGGCATTGGGGTGAATAATTTTAATTTTGTTCCAAGCTAAATCCCTACAAGAAAAGTGAGTGGAAAATTACATACCCACTGAGTGAATATGGAAGTTTTCATACACTTGATTAGGAGGCCTAAATATAAAAAAGGTATTAATTACATGCAAATATTTTCAATAAGCTTCTGCATATCTCATAATGCAAAATCTTTTTTCCATTTTTAAACTACATTAGTCAGTTAATGGTGTTAGTTATTAAACTGACATCTTTCTTAAAACGTCTTAATATCTTCTACAGTCTAAGGCAGTGTTTTTCAGTCTGCTTCAAAGCTTCCTAAGGAAGCAGAAAGAAGAGTGGGGTATATGGACTACTTCTAAGAGGTCCTCATGATGTGACTAAGAACAGCAAATCCATTGTCAATAGGCTTAACTTCCTAATCTCAATCTTCACCTGAAAAATCAAAAAGACTGAAAGCAACTCTTAAAAAATGTATGGGTTTGATCCTGCAAAAACTTACAACCATGAGTCATTTCTTGCTAGCACATGTATCTGTGTGAAAACTAGAAACCTGCACATGACTAGACTCTATTTCTTAAGACACTGTTCTCTATAAAAAGATTTCATGCTCCCTAGAGCTGATTATTACGTGAACCTGCCAACAGATACCAGCTCTGGCTCAGTATCTCTCTTCAGCTCCATCAGAAACATTTAGAAGTAACAGCTTTTTTAGCTATAAGTTTACATCTTTGAATTCATTGCTGCCGATGCTAAACTTCACAATGTTTGTTCTCCTTTCACAGTTACGACCTAATGGGTGAAAGATATAAGTGAGGAAAAACAGAAACAAGGATGTTTTGGAGCATATAGCAAGCAGACAGTATATACCCCATGTTTTTGAGAACCTGGGTGAATGGCTGTTAGGACTGTACTCACAGAGACCGAAGAGCAGCCAGCTGCCGAAACGTGTCTGCTTTGATTTCACTGATTTCATTGTGATGCAAGTCACTGAAATAGCAATAAGAATCTCCTCAGTTTCAAAGGCACTTGGAGGACACTTCGGGGTATTTTAGACTGTGTTTACGATCCACTTCAATATAGTGTAAGGGTACGTATTTGGGATATGTCAAATCGGCCAGCAATAACAAAGTTAATGATGCTCAAACACATTTGTATATAGATGCTTCTTTTTAGGCTTTTTAGGGTAGTTTGACACTTACATTTTCTGGAGTTTTTTACATGCAGTAAAACAGGGTAAATCTTCCAAGAGGTTATAAGACAGATCCCTGTAATACACAAGAAAAGGAAAGACTAACATCAAAGTAACGTTAAAAGAAAAAGATCTTTCATTGTCTTACTTCATGCTCAATTTAAAATAACTTGTTTTTATCCACATTCACAGAAGAACAGGAATGTGCAAACTCAGTTATCATCTCTCATCTGTCAGATTTTGATTTCTAACTGAGGAGGAGAGAGGAGGGGAAAAGGCAAGATGTATTAACTCCATATCCTACGTTTGCAAATTCCTTGCATTGTCTAAAGATTTCCTGCCTGAAGTCTAGACTTCTGCTGAGCGTTTTACAGTAACGATATTGGCCATCTGCTCATAGGGAATATTCGATTTACATCACAGACTTCATATTCACATTAATAAAATTCTGACAAATATTTAAACCATTTAAAATAATCTACTAGATGTATATACTCATATTTTTTCAGAGAAGATCCTGTATTTTTCTGGTAATAATCACAATGGACTGCAATCAGCTTTTCATTCTACACTTTTAATTAAGCACTATTGCCTCTGATCCTTAGACTGTTATATCTTATAACTGAGGGAAATGGTTAAAAAAATATTGGAACTAACTTTGAAATCAATCACTACATGGGGAAAAAAAACCTTAAAAAGACTTGAGCCAAAACTCAACAAATTACAGAATAACTGAAACATCTGGACTGATTTATAGTATAACATAACTAATCAAAACCAAGCCCAGGCAATTTGCAGAAATTGGAGGGGAAAAAAAAAAGGAACCAAACACCCGCCCCCACCACCCAACAGTCTCATCCTATATATACATGTTGCTCAGGGAAAACTGAATGGGAAATTTGCTGATGAAAAGAATAGAGAAAAAAAGCTTACACCTATAATTAGGAAAAATGTCCTTTTCCACAGTTATCCAACATTATCATGTAAAAGAGCAAACTCTTTTCACTCCTGTTCCAAGTTCTTTAAAACTGGTTCATCTCCACTCATTTACTTCCTTGGTAAATCTTATTTTCACTGTTACTATTCCAACAGGGGCATTTAGACTATTTAGAGGTTTGTGGAAGTGGTGCAAGTAATGACTGTGTGTGTTTTTAAGGTATTCTACTCTGCTTTTACTATGCATAAAGGCTACCATCAATTTATGTATATTTTTTGTTACAGCAGAGAAGATTACAGCCTCTGTTTTTGTATTTTTTACAGGTACTCTGTGGTCCGCATCAGACATGACAGAGGAGAATTCAAGTGAGCTGGAGGCTTTTAGGCCAAGGTAAAAGATGTTTGGTGTGTTTGGCAGACTGTGGCAATTCTGTCATGCACGGATTTGTGACCTGGGTCTTCTTAAAAGTATGTTATCAGCTTGAATTTTGTACGTACTGACACTCCCTTTTCACACACAATGAAAAAAAAACCCCAAACCGAAACCCTTCTCCCCTCAGTTTCTGTTAGAGCTCCAGGAAATATTTTACTTGTTTATTTTTAAGGATTTTTTCCACTTTGTTAATACATGAGGCTCTTGGCACCAGCAGAGGGCAAGTGGGTTTGGTTCCCATGTTGAGGTGCGTACCCAACTGCACTGAGGGTAGTCTCTTGAGGACTGCTGGGACCGTGTTCTCACATACACCTTTACTGCAGGTGCGCAGACACCCACGAAGCCTCCATGTACATTAATCCACATTTGGAAGTATTGGTGGTTAGGTAGGATGCACAAATTGTCTTTCAAAGCAGTGTTTGTGCTTGCAGTGTTTGTGCATGTATCTGAGCCAGGAAGCCCCTTCAAGATTGCAGTCTCCAAGTAACTTATGGGGTTCAGCGCACCATTATACTTCATGGTACAGGCAAAACTAATGTGCAAACCTAAATGTGGGCTTGGCAGACTCATTCCAATCTGATGGGAATGGGGAAAGAGCATCTCTGAGCACATGAAATTGCTGTTAAATTGGTTCCCCATCCTTTTAAATATCAGCTCAAATAATACAGGGTGATACTCAAAAATAAAAAATGTGGATTTCGAATGGACAGTCCTACTCTAGTAAGAACTGTACAAGTTATTAATTACTGTAGTATTTATTTGCCTTCTGTTTTGAGATTATTCATTGTTTTTGAATAATGCAGGACATATTTAAACTTAAGTCTGTGTGCAGACTTTCGTCTGGCAACAGACTCTGTTTCTGTCTTTTATCATTCTGGAAATGATTATATTGTGTTCATCAACTAAAACTTAATTTTTTCTGGAAATGTTCATGATATCCATGCTGGTATTCAAATAATGTGTTATAATTAGTGCTATTTCGATGTCGGCCAGAGAACTAATACCAAATACATTCCTAGTGATGTAACTCATAGAGCAAAGTGCTGTTGGCTCATTCTCAAAGAAGTGGACACAATGATTACTTTCGTTAGTGATTAAGCAAACTCCAAGGAAATCTCCAAGCTAAAATAATATTGGTTATTTAGTATAAAAACTATGCCCCAACTATGCCAAGGAATAGTCTATTAAAATTTCAGTCAGCTACTTACGTCTGGTTGGAAAAGAAACTAAAAGAGGAGCATAACAAGGACTCAAAACAGCACTCCTTACTCAGTTACATTTTCCATTCACTTCACTGAATTATCTGCGTCAGTGAGGAAAAAACCCCAGACTACTGTAGGAGAGACAGAATGAATGAAAATAAGGTAGTTCTGTTGCTTTTTAAACAAAATCAAGAACCGTTTTACCCTTTCCTAAAAATATGCAAAGTAATTATCTTTTTCAGCAACGTATGGGAAATCCTGACTGATAAGTGGGTTGTGAACTTTTTGAGTAACACGGGGGACCACTCCCTGAACTGAATTCCTAAGAAGTAACGTGATACAAAGAAATAGCAGTAATTGGGTAATTTTGAAATCATAATGATTTCATTTGTCCATTAATCTTTTTCATTAATGTAATTTTAATATTCTTACTGAAACGTACAGCACTTGGAGATTAGGTAACTGGTCACAAGCTGATTTGGGGAGAGAGGTGATCTGTGCTCCTGTGAGTGTTCTGTTGAAAGTATTTATAAAAAAAAGAAAAGAAAAAAAAAGATTACTTTTTAAAGATTGCAAAATAAATATATTTTTTAGGACATTCTTTAGAGTAAGTCAGTATCCAAAGAAAAAAACCAAAGCAAAAATACTTCTCTAGCACTTACAAACTCTCCAGACTTGTAGTCCCTGTCAGATCAGGAAACTCTGTTATCTGTGAAGCACCATTTAAAGTCCTAGAATTTAAAAACATAATTTCAATACAATTGTGGTGAGGGAAGTGTGGGACAACTCTAATATTGCAATATATAAAGACCATTAAAATAAAAAAGTAAACACATACAGAGTTCTGAGTTCTGGTAAGTGTTGAAAAGCAGATTTTCCAACAAACTGGATCGGGTTATCATAAAAATGTCTGCAAAAAGAGGACAAAAAGACATTTTATGAAAAATATTTTAAAAGATTCTAAATATATTACATTATTACACTATAAGCAAATGAGTAAACACCCTATGATGAATCACAGACTGTGCACCTCTGGTTGTAGCAGACGTGCACCTCTGGGCTTTTCTCACCCAGTAATCTATATTAATCAACCACATTTCACATTTTGAATATTCAAGTAGTCATTGTTTTCTTGGTTTTAAAGCCAGAAGCCAGTCAACAAAATATTCCCTCTTCCTCCCAGGTTTGCAAAGATAGAAATCCAAATATGAAGAACTTTGTTATGACCTGAGCCAAATTTAAGGTTAGCAGGTGAAGAAGTCAGAACTTTACCTACTCAGAAGAGGTTCCCTTGCACTTTTGAAGTCATGCTGCTTTTGCTCATAGAATAATATTGCTCATGATGAGTCACTATTTTTCTTACTTTTATTTTACAATTTCTTATTTTGACGTTTGCCCATTAAATGCATTCTCATGCAAGACAATGGGAACTCAGACTAGAATCCATCAAGAGTAATTTTTGCTAGCTTCTACATTGCCAGTAATGCTAAGAGACTTAGAAGAAATAGTTCAAACAAAAGGTCAAAGGCCAGAGGCCACTACTCACTTCTCTTAAACAGGGCATGCAAACTGCCATTCCTTCCACGAAGTTGGAAAGATATGAGCTTGTTTGCTTGTATAATGATGTGCTACACAGTATGCGCACAAGAAGAGCTATTTGACAATTAGCCACAAATACGATACTTAGTTCCACGTTCTCTAGTAAGAAGAGTCATTGAAAAGACTCTTATCACTTACATTGTAATAAGTGATGGATTACCCACAAATGCACGCTCAGGTATTGACTTGATGTTATTGCTATGAAATCCCCTATAAAAGGAAAAATGGTTTACACAGTAAGAAAAAAAAGTGAAGGCGCAATCTGTATTCACAATGCACAACAATTTTTTTTGTTTGTAATAAGAAAAATGTCTGCATGTAAACGTATATCCTTGTTTTCTGGAATAAGACAGAACTGAGAAAAGCAAAGAAAAGAAAAGCAAAGACAAGAAAAGCAACGAAATATCTGGAATTCTGCACTTTTCTAAATGAACAAAACCATTGGAATGAAGTAAACTGCAAAACGGCATTTTAAAATTCAGATGCCCTTAATAGGAAAATGCTTCGAAGCTGTATATCATGTATCTATGAATCTATGTGTGTATTTATATAATTATAATTTAAATATACACACGCACACACAGGAACTAACAACATTAATAGTTAAATATTAATAATTAAATAACAGTAAAATAGTATATGTATTTCCCCCTGTATGTGTTAAACTGCAACTATTTCTTTTGCTGAGATAATAATGGATGACACAAGTTTATCAAGTAAATGATTTTATACATTATATTGTAATATGTTGAGCCTCCCACAACCACCTTTTTGTTGAAGTATTTTAAATGTGGACATGAACAAACTATCCAATGTAGTTGTGCCTGCTGGATAGAGGGCCAAATCTTTGTCTCATCATTAATTACTGGATTTTATTCATATGAGTAATTCTCTATTGTGAAAAACAAAAGAAACAACTAAGATTTCAAAAGAACAATGATGATTTGTGTGGGAAACGCCCATTAGTTCAGTCGGGTATGAAAAAGGCTTCCCAGCTTAAATTTACGCATTTAGAAAGCCTCAAATTGTTCACTGATGCAAGCACACTTGGTCAATACTTGAACACATCCCACATTATTGGTTTTACTTGTTTAGGCATTGTGCTACTGCTGACGAACTACAGAGCAAGGCTCTAAATCCCTAGTTCTTCTGCATGCAATAAAAACTGCATCCATGCAGATGCAGCCTCTAAGCAATATGAGGATCCCATTTAATCTAGAACCAGTAAACAGGCTGGTTTTGTGGCTGTATTGAATGGGATTCCTTGCATGGCAGAAAAACTAAGGAAATGGCATGACTACTTTCCAGGGCAGTTTCTGGCCACTCTTCACCATTCTGACTTGAGTTAGAGTGAGGGAGCAGCCCCATCATCAGCCAAGAGCAGACTGCAGTGCATTTATGCACAGAAGAGCCTGAAGCACTTCTGAGCTGGAGTGAAGAGAGCATGCTCACGGCTGCAGCCTGTGTCCTGGGGCACTGTACCCAAGTGATACACCCTGTCTGAACTGAAGGCGCTTGATAGCCTGTCAGTTCACATATTGAGCAAAAAAGCAGTAAAATCTACCTGCACCCGTGGGTAAAAAGACTATATTAAGGCCACACTGGGAAAAATGCTTCTATAGGCATCTTCAAAATCCAGTCTGGAAAACACTATGTATGCATTAACTTTGGCTAACAGCTATACCCACTTACTTTGGAGAGATAACTACTCCTACAGCTGAGACCTTGAAGTACAGAGCATCTGGAACAACAGTGTCCCTGTAGCATCAAACAGATATGGCCCTGACTCGCTGGCCACTTGCCAGCAGATCTCCAGCTCTGACTGGCTGCCTTGGATGCCTCCAAGTTGTAGACAAAAAGCCATAGCCTGTGTTTTCAGCCCAGACACAAATTCTGAGAGAGAAATGAGGTCCCACCCAGTAAGGTGGCCCTGCAATGAGCTGAACCTCTGTGGGCCTGGACTCCCACTTGAGTGAGAATGGCAGGACACGCACAACCTCGTGGGAGACACCTTGTGCTTCTAAGATTGGCTTCCAGGGCCCAAACAAAGCACTGAAGCACATGGTCTCATGGTCTGTGCTGGATTTGGGATGTCAGGTTGCAACTTCACACTCCAAAGATTTCTTGCACCTAGGAGCTTATCTGAAGAAAGTTTGATATTTAGAGGTGAAGTCCTACAGGGCCAGTGAGTAATCTCAAGCACATCAGGCAGTTTGCCGGACTGGGCAAGGTGCATTTACTGCAAACCTGGGTTATCTACGTTTGGCTACTGACTCCAGAGGTCAGCAAAAAAACAATCTTTTGAGGCCACTGGATTTCACACCAGTTATTTTAGCCGACAGATGACATAACAGCAGCTGAGAACAGTTGGGCTGAGAAACTCATAGCCCCACTCCCTTCTCCAGAGCCGCACTCTGCCAACACTGGAGGTGCTGAACTGGAGTCAGCACTGCCTGAGGATCCCTGCTTTGGAAAAAATCCCAGGTAGCTACTTAAAGTGGCTTTAAGATCAGTTTATGATGTAGCAGGGGTACAGCCGTGTCCGACTCCTACATGATTACCTAGTTTTTTTCAAAAATCTATGCTGATGGTACCAGTAACATGGTAAATAATTCAAATGGAAAGAATTCTGAACATATGCGTTGATGTGTACATTGTGTGTACGATGTGTGAATATAATTTTATTCTTTTTTTATAATTCAGCTGTTTCTTACAATAAACTTGGCTGGTTTCTTTTCATTGTTGATTTTTTGTAATGCAAACTATGTCTGTGCATCCAGAACTGTTTTATTTACAGCATTACAAAGGACTATTTATATTGAAAAGAAACTGCTTTAATTTAATGGGAGGGAGGGAGGGAAGAAGGTAAAGACATTTAAACCTGATGGACTAATAACGGTGCCATGCCTTCTTCTTCTTAGACTAGAAGACTGTGATATATTGGATTGTTTGCAAAATCCAACTGTTGTGTTTGGGTCTCAAAGTGAATTAATTGTGTTTATTATTTACTGTATTCCAAGGATGAAGTTCCTGGAAAAACCTACTGCACAATGCGTTATAGAAGTAGAAGTTGTCAGAACCTGAATGCTCTAAACTGAAGGTTGAAAATGATCTTTTATGCAGGTTGGCATGTTTATTAGTTTTTCCTAGGATATCAGTTTTTGAGTATTACTGATAAAATCACCAGCATTAAAAAAAAAAATCACACACTAGACAAAACATCCTCCTTCCTAATATGAGATCTGTACTTACAGTTCTTTTAGGTTTGTTAGTGTCCTGATAGCAGTGGGGAACTCGTCCAGACTGTTGTAATTTAAATCTCTGTGTGAAAATAGATTTTATTATTTAGGTTATGCACTGCATAATGGATAGCATAGAATGGTTGGCATTTGTAATGAAATATCATCTTCCATGCATTGAAGAAATACATACAGCCAAAAGCCAGGAAATCCTCAGAATTGTATGGATGTTTTCCAACAAACTCTATTTAGGGCACATTATCATTCCTATTTTTTATCAGCTTCCTATTTTTAGCTATATCTTAGCTATTCTGCAATAAAGAAAACATAAGTGGATTCAGATACTACTAAGGGATTTGCTGTTTTGTAAATTGCCCATCCTTTTCATTACTTGAAAGTATTAATGGGGAAAAAAATCTTTCAAACAGAATATTCAACAACTTTGTATGGTGAGCTGCATTTTACATAGCTAATACATCTCACTCTAAAGGTTTCATTTGCCTCTGACTCACTGTCTAGTTGTATTAGTCTTTTCCCAGTGGTTAAGTGGTAAAAATAAGAGATACTGGAGTTTGGATGGTAAAAATGATTAGGGGAAGTTTTCCTCTGGCTAAAACAAGTGGGAAAACATACAGTAAATTCAACGTTACCATTAACTGTATTGTTAATTTTAAGATTTGTCAACATTCATACGGAGAATGTTTCTAACCACACAAATTGTAAAAGAATGGTAGTTTAGCTAGGGTAATGACCTCTGCTTTAAGAACTGCTCATGCTGCAGCGGTAATTAGACTTTATTCTGGCAGGCTGAATGGACTATAAGCCTACTTCTGCCCTTAGCATGACATGTGCATCCTTTAGCATTCAGGAGACACCTGAAACTAAAATTGAGACATGTCAGTTTACTGTGATGCTCTCTGGCACTGCTTTGTGAAGAATATAGTCTAAAAAACTTGAGCAAAACCTTTTTGAACAGGCAAAACACAAATCACAGTTTACAATAGATTGAAATTGAAATAGTATCAGGCTGAAGTAATGCAGGCAGGAAACTGCTGTCTGAACTCAACAAGGCTTTCCTTCCTGCTTGTAAATCTCTCTCTCCTGCTTATTGACAAAAAGAGATTACAGGCATGTACGGTTTGGTTTTGCCCTCCAGTGATATGTGATTTCCAGACCTATGCCTCGATGCAAACAAATGACCTTACAGCTGGCGTCCATCATTTACACCAAGATCTCTTTAGATTATCTTGAAACTATCTGGAAACCGGTCTATACAGTATGCAGTTACTGTGCTTGAGGCAAGTGCTACATTCTCCTATTGCAATGCAGTGGCTGCACCTACACTTATTCCCAGGTTCCTGACTGTCCTCTGCGTTTCCACTTCTCTCATGCCAGGTGGCTGGGACTCGGTTTGCAATTACTTACTCCATTGTTCTGTTTTTCCCCATTTTTGACCAAGTGCCATGTGAATCTCACTTAAAAAAACAAAACAAATGATTACATTTTCCTTCTCCCTTTCCAGTCCCCCTTTCCGGTGCTACACTAAGGGACTTCCTCTCAACTCACAGCCGGCTAAAAGTCAAAATTGTAAAATTGCAATTCAGTGCCAAGGGATCAACGTAATCAAAACTAGGGATAAAAAAAAAGCCCAAAACTTCTTGCTTTCTGATCTTAATGAAACATGAAAGTGGGCAGTACATAGTTCTGTGGATGAGAAAGCAAATAGTCACCTTTAGACTAGCATTATTCATGTTTGAAACTTTGTCTATTTGTTCCTCATAAAAGGCCTTTTAGCTTCTGTCCTGGTTGGGTGAAATATCTACAATCTCTGCAAATGATGCAGCTGATTGTGGCAGGTGCCAGCGGGAAGGATACGTAAGGTTTTACTGTCCCTGTAGCATTTTGAGGGTCTGTGGTCTACTCTAGCAGACAACATCTTTATTCGACTAACTCTGTATTGAAATACTTTGCGCTAACCATCAGCACTGTGTTCCTGTTTGGCATTCTTCTGTAGAATTATTTTTTGTTAGAAAACTCAAGAAAATTTGAATCGGTCTGAACAGAACTGTGGAGAAAACTTGAGGAAATTTCAGTCTTTACCAGTGCTATTCTTTATCAGAGCTCTTTAAAGACAAGAACTTGGATACAACTGAAACATTCCTCTTCCCCCCTTGTAAAACACATGCATAATTTGGCTACCTGGCACTTTTGCTTTTTCCAGGGATAAAAAAAATTGAAACTGTCTAATTTTATAACCCTCCTCTACGGCAAGACAGTTTCTTAATGTTAAGGCTTTTCACTGTGACAATTTCCCAATCTAGCTATTAGCGTTATTGATTACACAAGACAAATAAATAGTACTAAACTAGGCCAACATAACTGTTCATGAATAGCCACTTCTTTTTCAATGCTTAGTACAGTTTTCAACTGTCCTTCAAACAATTTATCAACTGACAATGCTTATTAAGAAGGCAAACTAATTTTATAGTCAAAAATAGGATTTGCTACACAGAGTCATTGTAAACCACCACTTAGATCCTGTAGCGATTAGGCAAGCCAAAACCCACATTTGGCTTTTAGGCTATTTTTATTCTTTCAGAATATTAATGAAAACACTGAAAAAAAAAGGAAACAAATAAGAGGTCAACTCACAAAGTCTCCAGGCTGTGGAGCCCATCAAAGCATTTCTTTCCCAGGGAGTAGATTCTATTGTTATGGAGATGTCTGCAGGGGAACATTAAGCACACAGTCAGGAAAGCACACTGCACACAGTGGACTTAAGCAAAACATTTTGATGGTTAAATCAAAAGAAACTTATTTTCAGGCATGCACTGATTATATGCAAGTCATGCTTTTGCAAGAGCATGTATAGGAGGCACCTCCGCCGCCCTCTCCCCTTTTCCCTGGAATCTCCCCACTCACACAGGCTTCCATTTGGTTTCATAGAAGGGATTTGTTTTAAAACCACCTAGATTGTTTAAAAAGGGTATGTCATGGAGTTCCAGGTTGGGGTTTGGATATTGAATACTAGGAAATTGTAGACATATTCTCAGTGGTGGTTAATTAACAGGTTGCCTCAAAAACTGTGTGTGGGGTGTGAAGTGTATATTTGGAAGATATATATTCAGAGGGTGTTAGAGGGTATGGCACAGAACAGGAGCAGGTGAGGAGACGGATAATACGGCAGACAGGAAAGGGGCATTAGGCTTGCAGAACGAAAGAAGAGACAAAGCCATAGGACAAAAAATTCATAGCTTCACTGAGATGAGTAAACTAACCAATCTTAAAAGTGCTGAAACTTGCCTTCCTTTGAAACTATAAAAATCAACAACTACTTTCTCAAATGTTTAGCAATTGAATTTTGTTACATATTTCAGCCAATCGCCCCGCACGAAGGATCAGAGTGTTGCCTATTTCTAAGTCTTTTAGACTGATATGGAAAAAACCTACTCTGTGTGAAGCTCACTAATGTGAGTAGATACAATTCGGAGCTGCTTCAGTTTGTTTTTTAAAAACCATGCCTTTTTCCCAGATTTTTCCTTTTATTTTATTCTTGACACTCTACCCTTACAGTGGAGGGAAACTACAGGAGTAGCACTTTAAAAGAAAAGAAGGGTTGTGAATGAGGGGCTGCCAGGCACTTTCCCTTCAATGCTTCATTCTGCTCTGAAAATAATGTTAAAGATCAGAGGCTCTCTGAATGTTCTGCAGAACCTATAGAAATTGCGTCTACCTGTCCATAAAAGGCAGGGATTCTGACGGCAAAATGCAAACGTTCTGTGGATTTTCCCTTTCCTAGGAAGAAACCTAATCAACTATTTTTTAAATGTAGTCACTGACCTTTAATGCTTTAGTTAGCACTAAGAGTGCATCTCCACATTCCAATTATGTTTGATCTTTAATGATAGAGCTTCAAACCTGCTCCAATTGACCCTGCATTTTTGCACTGAGTTGAAAATTTGCCAGACTGAATAGAGTAGCAAACAAAAGAAAGCAGAACCACACACAAAGATTTCGATGAGCCAAAAATATCAGATGTTGTAGATCACAAGGAATGATTGAATTATTAATCAATATGAAGCCCAGAAGATTAGAAATAAGCAAGGCAGATCTAAAATAAGGAAACCTAACTGAGTAGAGGCAATCAGGGCATGAAAAGAAATAATTTTCTCCTGCATTTCTTAACTGTCCTCTTATCACTGTATTTCTGATAGGGATCTAGAGAATGACGTTCAAGACAGTCTTTTGTCTTTAGCATTACTGAGGTAAGTCTAGAAGCTCAGTCAAATGACAAGTCCATCCACTCTTTAACTTGAATGGGATTGATACTTAATGTAAACAGAAGGCAAAGACTCTGTGGCACAAGGCAGCTGTTTCCCTCCATTTTTGGTGCCCTATATGCTTATATGAATATAGTATGCACTAGGCAGAGATAGCGATTATAACTGTCAATAGAGAACCCTGGCCTGTGCCAGGTTCAATGCTTACACTGGGGCTAGAATATGCTAAAATATGCTAAGTCTCTTACAGACTATGGTTTCAGACAGCTTGTAAAGCTTGGCTATATTATTCTCTCTTTAATAATGCTAACATTTTCCAGAGTATCCTGAAATAACTTCTCCACCTCAGTTCTCCTCCTCAGTTTCTCCAGCCAGTCTAGAATTTTTTCCACTTGATACATTCCCAGAAGATAAAAAGCTGAAACCATGCTCCATAGCATTCCTTCCAGATTTTGGTGCAAGCTACGCATGTTTCATTTAGTTGAACTAGTATGCAAAAATAACAAAATACAAAACTACATATATTTTCTATGAAGGGAAATGCATACTTTTTCTCCTGGATGGCATTCTTTCCAAGTCACCCAGAAAGCTTTCAGTTAATTTCCTTTTTCTAATCTTCCCTCATTCAGTGCACACTGCCTTAGAGTCTTAGAGGGCACACAATTCATCTCTTCCTGTTTGTTTTGCTGACCAGATAGGGTGATTTTTTTAATTCCCTTACATAGTTCTTTACTGGAGATGGGAACTTTTAAGCTAGATCAAAACAAGTGATTTAGCAAATGCTAGTTTAACTGTAGGAAGATGTAAAAAATCTGTTTATCCAAGATAATTTTTTTCAATTTTGTTTTGTAGTACATATACAATCCAGAAAATTTATTCTTCAAAAAGAACATTTTCTGCAACAAATGGAATTGATGTCTTAGTAAAGGAATATCACTAAGCCTAGTGCAAATGTAAACGGGAAACTGCAGATTTATAGCCCCAAGATATCAAATTAATACTAAGAATGTCAGACAAAACAGACGTTTAATTAACCCATGTATACACCTCTTTACCTATCATTTGCCAACTGGGGAGGGACTAGGGGTATATTTAATTATTAAAGGTTGTCTCAGGCAACATCTAAATTAAACATTGCATCTTCAAGTAATTTATCACAAAATGGTCAAAGTCCTGCAAAGAAGCAGAGATTGTGGCTAAAAAACAATCAATAAAACTTACAGAACTACCAAACTAGAGAGGTTTCCAAAAGCATAGTCTGGTATGTAATGAATTTTATTCAGTGCCAATGTCATTGCCTGAAGTGCTGGTAAACTTCTAAAAGCTTGGACGGGAATTTCTGTCAAAGAATTATCATCTAGCCATAGGTGTCTAAGAGAGACCAAGCCATTGAAGCAGTTGGGGGGCACATAGTTGATGTGGTTGGCATCCAGACGTCTAGGAGAAAAAGAAATAGAGAAAATTGACTCTGAGAAAAGAACAGTGGACTTACACAATGGATATCAGAAGTTATCACCAAGAACACAACCCCAAAGGATGGACATGGGTTGCCATATCCACTTTTCATTTTCTGGAGATTCTACATTTCCGTCTTGTTTGCAACCTCACCCCTGAGACCTCACATCATGTTTTCAAGTCTCCTTGTCAGCTGGCTCTCCGCAGGCAGCTCTCCTTTGGAGCCATCAACTCACTGAGAGCACACACTGATCATTTTTGAGCAGAGCCTCTCTACAGACCAGGTATGAATTTGTTTCCTTTCCCAATTATTTGAAATTATGGAATAAAAAAGTGTAAAAAACTCAGCTAGAGATTCTCTTTCAGAACCTATAAATCACTGAGCTGCAAGCTCACTTGGGTTTCCATACACTAGACACACATTCTAAGAGCCAAAAATAAAACTCACTTCTGAGTCTCTGTTCCCATTTTACCTTTTCTCACATATTGTTTATTCCAATTATTCTAATCAGCACTGAAGTTCACATTTTTTAATACTGGAGCAAAATGTTTTTAAATAGAGATTAGTGTTGCTAATGCGATGTATGTATTTTGAAAAAGAAGTTATTAAATACACTTCAGTTGCTGCAGAGCCAACAGAGGGAGCTCCAGTGCACATCGTACCTCTTCAGAGTCTGCAGGTGATATCCTGCTCTCACACTTGTGTAGG